TTAAACTGGAACTGAGGGACAGCACATGGGGTCTAGTGCAAGTAATCAGCTCAAGGCCTTACCCACTGGATTCTGCCCCTCCATGGATAAGAGGCCAGGAGCCACCTGCAGACATGGCAGCCCCCGAGCACAACTGAATTGCCCTCTTCCTGTGGCCACATCTGCATTGGCTCTATGACAGGGAAGTCCAGGTGTGTCCGTTGGCAGTGCTTTCTCTCTGGAACGCACTTGAAAAAATGATGGAGGAAGCCATGCCGATGACTGATGGTAGATTCACTTATCGTTGTTAATGGCAAAAACATCACAGTGAGCTAATCGTAAAAACAGTCACACTCAGCACATTGGTGTCCCCCCCCTCTCCCATAATACGTGACAATACCTTTCAGCTCCTACAGTAGCACCAGTGGCCAGATTCTTGTTATAGCCTAGGGACTTTTCCTTTCTGAGTCATAACCAAAGGGCTGCCCCTAGAATTACATTCAGACCCGTCCGCCCCTAATCTCCATCATCTCCACCCCTATTTCCACCACCATCATCATCCTTTTTCTTTTAATTGAATGCTAACAAATATGTAGAACTGAAGGATATTATATAATATCCCGAAGAATCATTATCTATTTAACATAGACACTATAGACATCTTCTAAAGCATTGACTCAGTATTGTTATATTGGGTCATTGGTAAAGTCATGATGCATTTTTGCATAGAAAAACAAAAAATACATTATAATTTTTCTGATGACCCAATAGCTTTCCAGATGACAGAACAAAATAATAGTTTGTCACCTACTCTTGGCATTGCAGGTAGAGTGTAAGCATTTCTTTCATATATTAGGTCATCAGGAAAATTATGATATCTTTCTATGTTTTTGCTTTTATTCCAACAATTATTTTATTTAACTTTTTCTTTCTTCCTTCTCTTCCCTCCCTCCCTCCCTCCCTCCTTCCTTCCTTCCTTCCTGCCTTCCTTCCTTCCGTTATATTGGGTCATTGGTAAAGTCATGATGCATTTTTGCATAGAAAAACAAAAAATACATTATAATTTTTCTGATGACCCAATAGCTTTCCAGATGACAGAACAAAATAATAGTTTGTCACCTACTCTTGGCATTGCAGGTAGAGTGTAAGCATTTCTTTCATATATTAGGTCATCAGGAAAAGATATCTTTCTATGTTTTTGCTTTTATTCCAACAATTATTTTATTTAACTTTTTCTTTCTTCCTTCTCTTCCCTCCCTCCCTCCCTCTCTCCCTCCTTCTTTCTTTCTTTCTTTCTTTCTTTCTTTCTTTCTTTCTTTCTTTCTTTCTTTCTTTCTTTCCTTCCTTCCTTCCTTCCTTCCTTGCTTCCTTCCTTCCTTCCTCCCTTCCTTCCTTTCTTCTTCTTTCTTTTTTCCCTCCACTCTTTTAATTTGACCAGAGAAGGACAGAGTGAGTGAGAGAGAGAGAGAGGGAAAGTGAGAAAGCAAGTTGCTAGGTCTGGGACTCGAACTATGGTTGGCCATGTGGGAGGCCAGTGCCCTTAACCACCACGCCACCTGCTGGCCCCTCTTTCTATGTTTTTCTATGCAAAAATGCATCATAACTTCCAACAACCTAATATTTTTTATCTCACAAGAGTAGTACCTTCTTTTAAGTTTTGACACATTGGTTATGAGTGCCTGGTACTTTGTGGAATATCGGGAGCATGGAGGAATTCCTCTCATTTCAAGATGTTGCCTTCTTCTTGATTCATGCAGACCTACTCAGCTTGAATGCATAGTGGAATGTGTATTTCATAAACTGGCTTGGGTGAATGCCTGCACCTGGAGTTTTTGTCAAGAATAGGTGTGGTGGGGACCAGCAGTTAGTGTAATGGCTATGTCGCTGGACTACCATGTAACTAAGTTGACCATGGTTCGACTCCCGGACCTGTGATTTAAACTCACGCCGGGCGTATGTGCGTGCGTGCCCAAGATCCCGAGAGGAGAATGGAGGAGAAGGGATTGTGACGTGGCCATCCCCCCTGGCGGGTGATTTCTCGCTTTCTGTCTCTTTGTCTCTCTCTGTCTTTCTGGCGAGCGCACGTGTCCTATAGCAAAAAACTCTAAAAAAAAAAAAAAAAAAAAAGGAAATGAATAGATGTGGTGAAATTTGAGGAAAGGTTCTTGTAAGTCTGTGGTATTAAATGATGAACTCAATCACCACCCACCCACGTGTGGAGAAATTGCTACTTTCATCTATCCAGCTCAGGACTCTGCTCCCCTTCACAAAGCACAGAAGAAAACCCAGGCCTGGCTGTGCTAAGGGGGCTATCCAAAGCCTCCTTGGCAGTAGAGCCTTGGATTTCAGAAGAGCCTTGAATTTCTTTTTCCACCTGCATTAAATGCTCCTTTGCATGAATCACCATCACCTTGAAATAACTGTCCTGTGATCACATGCTGAAGAGTGTGCTTCACAGAGGCCAGCCCGTGCTGTGGTCCTCACAGGGAAGTGAGGGTCTGTGAGGTCCACATGTATGAAGCCGCTCTGCCCTGGGGGCATCGGGGGCTGGTCCTCGAGGGGCAAAAGCCTGAGGAGTCACACAGAGCCAGCTTTGCCACTTAGTAGATGTGTCGCCATTTCAAACCTCAGTTGAGTGGTTATACTACTAGCCAATCTGAGTTTCTGTGAATATTAAAAACAACAGTTGCTGCCACTCTGTGTCTCTCTGTCTTTCTCTGTCTCTCTTATTAAGCACTTAGGTTGTGCCAGGTACCCTGCAAGAAATGATCTTTCTCACCATAATGCATGAAGTAGAAATGATCACCTCCATGTTCAAGATAAGGAAACTGAGGTAGCGTCTTGCCCTGCTTACACAGTAAGTGGGCAGCTGGCATCAGGCTTCGATTCCAGGTCTGTTCAACTCCTGATTCTGTGAGAGAAATCAAAGTGGTGCCTGGTGGGAGCCAGACTGTGGCACAATGGTAATACCACACTCTGCAACGCTGGCCCCATGTGGGAGGGTCCTGGGTTCACATCCTGAGACCTCCCTGTGCACAGCAGGGGCATGCTGGCCCATGAGCTGAGCTGGTGGTGGATGGTGGTGTGACAGCCCTGTTGGGGTGCCCCTCCCTCACCCTCTTTCTCTCTCTCAGAAGAAATAAACTTTAAAAAATGGTTTGTAGTGCAGAGTAAGTGCTTAACAAATCTTACTTTCCTCCCATGTGCATCCTGTGGCTTTGATAGATCTATTGCTGAAAGTAGTTTGTGTTTTTATCATTTTGTTTTATAGCAGGTCTATCGTACTGCCCTCAGGTGGTTCCCTTCGGTGACTGTTTTATTTTTATTTATGTATGTATTTGCCAGAGATTTTTGTTAATAGGGTTCATGTGCTTACGGGAGAGACAGAGAAAGACAGAAAGACACAAAGTAGGAAATCACCCCCCAGGGGGGGATGTCATGCTGTGATCCCTTCTCCTCCATTCTTCTCTCAGGATTTTGGGCACATATGCACGTGTGTTTGCGTTTCATGCCACTGTGTCTGGGACTCAAACCATAGCTGACCATGTGAGAGTCCATCACCTTAACAACAATGCCACCTGCTGGCCTACTTTTTTAAAAGGCTTAATTTGAGGGGACCAGCAGGTGGCATGGATGTCATGCTGTGATCCCTTCTGCTCCATTCTTCTCTCAGGATTTTGGGCACATATGCACGTGTGTTTGCGTTTCATGCCACTGTGTCTGGGACTCAAACCATAGCTGACCATGTGAGAGTCCATCACCTTAACAACAATGCCACCTGCTGGCCTACTTTTTTAAAAGGCTTAATTTGAGGGGACCAGCAGGTGGCATGGTGGTTAAGGCGCTGGGCACTCCCATATGGCCAACCAGGGTTCAAGTCCTGAATCTGGTGGCTTGCTTTTTCACTTTCTCTCTCTCACACACTCACCCTCTGTCTCTCTCTGGTCAAATTAAAAAATAAATGAATGAATAAATAAAATAAAATAAATAATTATTTTTTAAAAAGGCTTAATTTGAGTATTGGGACATTGGAAAATTTATGATGCATTTTTGCATAGCAAAACAGAAAAATATGTCATAACTTTTCTAACGACCCAATGTAATATACATACAATGTAAGTGTGAATGTGTCTCTAAAGTCGTCTAAGTGTATGGATACTTTTGGAGCTAGTATGGCATCACAACTTCAGTATACAAGACATTTCTTTCAGTAGACAAGAAATACCACTAACTCTGAGCCCTGACTGGGTTGGCAAAATACTTCATTTCAGTCACTCTTAGAACTTTTTTCCCATCTTCACTAATATCCTCCATTCCTCTGTTGTCTTGGAAGAGAAGGCTGTTCTTCCTTGGCTTTGCACCTGGTAGAGCCAGCCCATCAAAAAGGAGGATTCTTCTCCCAATTATATTTTCCACCCAACTGCCCTGTTTACAGAGACAGCTATAAACCACTAGAGAAATCTTCAATTTACACATGTAAGAAAGAGCTGAGATTGCCAGGGAATAGGATGTTAATTCAGTTACCAGCTTAAATGTCAGGAAGTGTTTCCAAGAGGAAAATAAAAAGGCCTGTTGTTCCCACTTATCAGGAGTTTTAAATCACAAAATCAAAGTCAGAGTTTTCTTTTCATGTGCCAAGAGAACCCCAGCTTCCATGGCTGATTCTCTTGTGCTATATCAAAGTTCTGCACATGCATTTGGAACTTGGCTGATTGCCCAGGGACCCTAGCTAGCACAGGGAGCTATGCAAGGCATGGACCACCAGGAGACTGACTCGTTTTCAGTGCCCTATCCACAGGGGACTTAACTGTCTCTTAGATATGTGCCAGGCTGGCCCCTGGTTCTATCTGTACTGAAGGGCAGTGTTGGGTGGAAAAGGGGAGTTGGTATGTGAGATGGCAAGGAAGGGGTCTCTTTATTTCATGAAAGCACCACTTATTAACAACGCAGGAAAACCTCCTGTTCTTCAAAGTATCTGAGAGTTAACATGGTCCTGATGCCAAGACCTCTTTGTGTTCCAGACAATGGAGGGCAGACCTTGGCTGGAGGCAATAACTGGCCCCTACGAGGAAGAAAATGGAGCCTGTGGGAAGGAGGTGTGCGAGGGGTAGGCTTCGTAGCAAGCCCCTTGCTCAAACAGAAGGGTGTGAAGAACCGGGAGCTCATCCACATCTCCGACTGGCTGCCAACACTTGTGAAGCTGGCCGGAGGCCACACCAAAGGCACCAAGCCTCTGGACGGCTTCGATGTGTGGAACACCATCAGGTACTCTGCCCTTTCTACCCCGAGGGAGAAATGTCAAGGACAGTTTGACAGGACTAAGTGAGAATGATAATTTCTGTATTCAAATGCTAGTTGGGTTACAAATAAATTATTTTGTTTATGATAGTGTGTGCACCCAACGTTCTCAAGCCACTGGATCTGGGACTTGAACCTGACAGTCAACTGTGTGGGATATGGCCTCCTTAATCACCATGCCATGGTCTGACCCCATTTTTCTATAGTTAAGAATCTTCAGTGTTAGAAATGTAGGATGTTGGGACCAGCAGTTAGTGTAATGGCTATGTTGCTGAACTCCCATGTAGCCGACTGCAGTTCGAGTCCCAGACCCGGTAGCTTAAACTCACACCGGGCGCGTGTGCATGCATGCCCAAGATCCCTAGAGGAGAAGGGATTGCGGCATGGCCATCCCCCCTGGGGGTGATTTCTCACTTTCTGTCTCTCTGTCTCTCTGTCTTTCTGGCGAGTGCACACGCCCAAAAACCTCTCCAAAAAAAAAGAAATGTAGGATGTGGCATGAGATTATTTTGTATGCCATAAGTATGACAGCTAATTAAGTTTGAAGTCCTGTAGTTTAGGAATTGGTGAAAGACGCATTCAATAGGCAGCTCACACTCACATCATCTATGGATTCTTCTCCATGAGTTTCATCCAGGAGGGTGAGTCTATGGAAGATCTTCTTGTCTTATGAACCCAAGAGAAGATCTGATTCGATTGTCTTTATAATTATCTTTAAATTATTTTGCACCTATGTGGGCAGCAGGTGGCATGGTATTTAAGGTGCTGGATCCCATGTGGCTGACCTGGCAGCTTGAAAATCATACTGGGCATGTGTGTGGGCATGTCCCAAATCCCAAATCCCAAGAGTGGAATGGAGGAGAGGGATTGCTGTGTGGTCATCCCCCCGAAGGGTGATTTCTCACTTTCCCTCTCTTAGTCTCTCTTTCTGTTTCTCTCCAGCGAGAGAACATGCCCTATGGCAAAAACTTTAAAAAAAGTTATTTGGGAACTCAGAGTTCCAGACTTTCCTTAGGGAACTTATCAAATTTTAAAGATTAGTTTCAAATAGCAAAACTTAAAGCACGCATTAGCCATTTCTTCACCTTTCCTAATTATTAACATCATTTTAGTTCTTTTTATAAGTCATGTTATTTTTCCAGGGGAAAAAATTCTTACCAGCCTCAAATTGTTGCCTCTTATTCTTGCCTGAAAAGTTGACTTTTCAGTTTGGAGACAATAAACAGTTTATGATTTTGCGTTTAAAGATTATTTGACAGCACCTAAGTCACAGAACAGTTATCAGCACGGAACTGCTAAACCAAGAAACAAACAATAGCAAAACCTTTTTGGAAACAGTGTACTTATTATTTGCTCATTCATAAAAGATGACTTTTTTCTCCCTTAATCCCTAGTCTGGCCCCATAGCCTAATGATAAAGGGTCTGGATCCCATATGACGGACTGCATTTCAGAGCCCAGCCCCAACAGCTTGTAAAACACACCAGACATGTGTGCATGCTTGCCCCCAATCCCTACAGGACAGAGGGATGGAGAAGAAGGGATTACACACTGATCAGGCCCCATTGGAGGATCCTTTCCACTGTGCTCTTTCTTTCTGTCTCTGCAGAGCACATGTGCCCTCTAGCAATTAGAAAAAAAAGGGAAAAAAATCCATCTATGATATCAATGGTATATTTTGTTTAACTTTAATTTTATCTTCTCAAGTGTCAGCATGTACTCACGGTATATAACTTGCAACTAATAATAATAATCGTCATCACTCAAGACCACCAGTTGGCATAATGGCTATGTCGCTGGACTCCCATGTAGTTGACCGTGCTTCGAGTCCTAGACCTGGTAGCTTAAATTCATGCCAGGCGCGTGTGCGTGCGTGCCCAAGATCCCAAGAGGAGAATGGAGGAGAAGGGATTGCGGTGTGGCCATCTCCCCTTGGGGGTGATTTCTTACTCTCTGTCTTTCTGTCTCTCTGTCTTTGTTTAATTATATAAAAATAAAAAGAAATAATCATCATCATTACTCAAATGTCACCTGGAAGCAGCTCCTGTAAATATTTTGTCATATTTCCTTAAACTTTTTCTTTTTGGTATTTTACTACATCTTTTTTCCTCATTTAACAGGTCTTTAATTGTGTCATTCAAGACACATTTTCCATGATTGAATATTCGGTCATGTGTATGTGCATTGATACACTTAACCATTCCTTTAACTTTGATTTTTTAAATTTTTCATCAATACCACTGAAGTGAGCTAGAAATCTACATAAAATCTTTGTTTACACTTTGTATTTTTTCCCCTTAGATATAAACCATTTGAAATTAAATGATTGATCTAAAGAAAGTAACAAGGTTTTTTGGTTTGTTTGTTTTAATTTACCAGAGGCTACATGTACTTGCTAAAGAAAGACAGAGAAAGAGAGAGAGGGAAATTAAGAAAGGCCCTCTCCTACGCCCACCCCTGAGGAATAGTCACACCATGATTTCTTCTCCTTCACCTTTTCCTCCTTTCAGGATTTTGGTTACTTAAGTATGTAAGCCCAGCATGTTTTCCAAGCTGCCGGCTCTGGGATTTGAACCATGCAGTTGGCCATGTGGCATCTGTCTCTTTTCATTAGCCTGCCACTGGCTGGCCTGAAAGTAACAATTTAAAAAACATCTGATGCACATAATAAAATCGCTCTCTAAAAAGACTGTACCACTCGATACACTCTTAGTTCACTGGTATATGAACGTGGTCATCTCCTTTACAGCTTTCCTTATAAAGCTTTTTAAAAATCTCTGTTGATATAGACAAAATGGTCTGGCTTTAGTTTATTTTTTTATTATTTGAGAGATTATTTTTTTAGCTGTTTGTATTCCATTTATATTTTCTCTCTTGAAAGTATTCTCTTCGTATCTCTTTACATTTATTTACTGAAGTTTTGTTTTTCTTGCTGATTTGTTTGCTCTTTTGCATTTTTTTTTTACTATCACATTTCTTGTAAATATTTTCATATTTTATTTGTCTTCTTTAATTTGTTGATGTTTTTGACTTGGATATATTGGATTGTCTGAAAAGTCATGATACATTTTTGCATAGAAAAACATGTCATGACTTTTCCGATGACCCAATATTTTCTGTGTTTATGTATCAATGAAATCAGTATTTCTGTTGTTGTTGTTCAAAAAGCTTCCTCTTAACTTTAAATGTGCTTACTAGTTACCCATTTTTTCTTATAAGTGGTGTAGAATTGTTGTGAGGTGGTTTCTGAGTTATGTGAGGTCATTATCTAATCAGAAGAGTGGTTTTTTTCCCAGTTTTTTAAGATCATAAACCTCTTCAAAACCCTGATGAAGGCTGAGCCTTAACAAAAAGTACCTAAACATAAACACAAATATCTAGATAGAACTTTTTCTTCTTTTTTATTATTATTATTTATTTAATTTTATTCATTTATTCATTCTTTTTCATTTAACCAGAGAGAGACACACAGAGAGAGGGAAAGTGAGAAAGCAAGTCACCAGGTCCAGGACTCAAACTGTGGTCAGCCATGTGAGAGTGTCCAGCACCTTAACCACCACACCACCTGCGGCCCCAAGATAGAACTTATTTTATGATACTAGAAATTGCCCATTTTTTCTATGATTACACATAGAAAAATATGAAGAACATCTTTTATGAACCTAGGCCTCACTCATTTTAATACACAATACCTTACTTCAGGGAGGAAAAAAAAAAAGGAAAAATTTCCAAGCAAAACAAAACTTGAGTTTCAAATCACATTGATTCAGACCAGATTGGGACTTGACTTCCAGGAGGTTAAGGAAGTGAGACTGGATCTGTACCCTTGCAGTTAAGGGAAATGGATCCCACATGGCTGGCCCTGGCGGCTGGAAAAACACACCCCTGTATGTGTGAGTTGGTCCCTAAAATCCTGACCAGAGGAAGAAATGGAGAAGGGATTGCAGCACATTCCATACATCCCACTGAGGGGTGATTTTTCCCTCCCTCCCCGTCTGTCTCTCTCTCTGATGAGCATCCACGCCCTCTGGCAAGTAAAGCAAGAAGAAGAAGTTGAAGAAAGCTTTGAGTCATTGTGATATGGCAGCATCTGAGACATGCATGACATCCAATCAGTTTCAATTTTGGTTTTGTTTTGTTGACAAAAGTGTAATAACCTCTGGCTTGTTAAAGCACACAATGGCAGACGGGATCAAAGCCTGCCGCATACTTTGCCCGGAGAGGGTAGGTTTGAGTTGAGAAACAGTTGAATTTATTTTGAGTAATTTCCGTTTCCTCCACTTACTGTGGTTATTATCTTTGGCAAAGTCCACATCATTGATGTTTGTCCATATCACCAAATTTTGGATTATAAATCCACATTTCAGTCTTAAGATTATCTTGATCAGAAATAACTTTTTAAAGTTTGGCTTCTGCCTACAGAAAAATGGAAAAAAGTCTGGTCACCCTTAACTCCAAATTACAGAAGGTCTTTCCTCAGTGTTAGAATGTTCTGGTAGGGCCAGTCTTTGATGGAGCAGGCGCTCTTGGTGCTTCAGCATCATATGTAATGGTGACTGCAGGCCTTTGCTCAATAGATATGGCAAAAATGTTGTTCAAGTAGGCTAAACCATGAGACAAGTGGCTTTTCTTTCATTTTTTTAAAATAAATTTTCTGCCTAAAGTTTAATCTAGCATTTCAAACTTTTTCTCTTGAAATAGAGCAAATTTCTATTTAGTAAGTTCTCATTATGCTTTCATTTCTTTTATTAAAAAAAAGATTTTTAAATTTTTATTTCTTTTTTAAGAGTAAGACACAAAAAGAAAGACAAGTACACTCAACAGGGTCTCCTACCACAGTCCCTGCTCCACTCCCCCACTTCCCAGCCAGCCAACATCATGGGTGGACACTCTGGCATGTACGGGTCAATCAGGGAACTAAACCTACGACCTTCCATGTGGATCCAGGATTATTTGAGCCACATGTTG